CGGGGGTCGATCGGGGGAGGGGGATTGGAGCACCATTAGCGCAGAAGCATTAGCGGGATTGACGTGCAAATGTATTTGTCCTCAGAAGATTAAGGAGTAATTACAGGCCGGCTTTGTGAATGTGTGCCCGTTCTTTGTGCCGCGTTCAAAGTCACACAAATCCCCACAAAGTCACGTCAAAATGTGAAAGGTGAACATTGGAATGCATCAAAAGACACCAACAGATGGAAACGGTGTATTATTTCGAGTGGCGTCCTTGTTTGCGACTTGTTTGCGACGACCTTATTAGACTGAGCTTTTTATTTGCGGCCATGTTGATGCTGCTGCTGCTGCTGCTGCTGTTCTTCATTTTCTGGATTATTTGTGTGTGTGTGTCTACAGGAAGATTTGCGACCCTGGCCTGACATCCTTCGAGCCCGAGGGCCTCGGCAACCTGGTGGAGGGGATGGACTTCCACCGCTTCTACTTTGACAACTGTGAGAAGAAAACAGCTACATTCGGACAAACACAGCTGTGCCCTTTTGTAACCACAGCCGTAACTCCCAAACACAACTCCTTCTGATTTGACCACAGAATGCAACACAACTACCATAACAATCGGACACCACTTCCACCATCCAAACACATCTTACGCTTGGAACATCAGACACAACAACCGTAACAATTAAACAAGAATTGTAAAAATCAAATAACAATAACCAAATACAATGAGAACAACAATCAGCAATGACACATAACAATCATACAACTCAAACACAACAGTCATAACAATCAAGCACGATGAACATAATGAAACATCAGTTTTGTAAAAGTCAAACAACCGTCATGACAGTGAAACACAACTTTGACTTGGACAAACGTGACAGTCAAACAAAAAAAAAAATAGGCTTGTAACATTCATGGCAACGGTCAAACAGTTAAACATAACAATCGCAACTACCAAACACGACAATCATAAGAACCAAATGCAAAAATTCGAACAATCAAACGGAACGATCATAGCGATCAAATAATACAAGACTCGCAGCGATCAAACAAAATGATCATAGCACTTATCCAACTCAAACACAGCAACCATAACAATCAAACGCAGTGATCAGAACGATCATAAAAATGAAACATAACTAGCATACCGAGTCACAATTTCTACTTTAACAAACATACTCAAACATGAATTATCCGAGTAACATCCACCATAATCGAAACAATCGCAGCTCTCATCACCATCAACGAAACGAACGATAGTTCCTCCGAAGCATAACAATCCGGCGCCTCTGCCAACAGTGCTGTCAAAGAACGTGAAGCCCATCCACACGACCATCCTCAACCCGCACGTTCACATGATGGGCGAAGACGCAGCCTGCATGGCGTATATCCGCCTGACGCAGTTTGTGGACGCCAGCGGTCGCCCGCGCTCCAGCCAATCGGAGGAGACCAGGGTGTGGCAGCGCCGCGATGGACGCTGGCACAACGTTCACTTCCACTGTTCCGGAGCGCACGCTGCACCCCTGCAGGCTTGAGGTATCCCACCGCCACCTTCGCGCTTGCCACACGCTGCCTGTCAAACACCGTTTGCACAGTCTACGTTTATACCAGCTTTTGAAATAGGCCAAAATCGGATGATTGGGGGGTTTTTTTTGTTTTGTTTTTTTTTTCATGCATGAACACTTTTCGACATAAGATA